CTTGCATTGTCACAGCTGTGCCTCTCTCGTATATGATCAAGGCATCACTTTGCATCAGTTTGGGGCGTGCAAATTCATAACAAGCTTTTCTAAATCTAACCTAATGTTGGTGTTTGGCCATCTAGTTTCCGTAAGGATTGGAGGGAGGAAGTTGTGTTATCTAGGTTTCACACTAGCTACAGTTTTTTAACTGATCATTTTATTTTACATGGAACTGATCCATCGATGTGAAGCCTTTGTAACACTTTAGTCACAATTGCCCATATCTTACTTTCATGCCATTTTTTTCAGAGTTTACTGCTGATGTTGAATAGTGTCATTGACGATGGTGACACTGTCCAGATTTATCGTGTTTGAGCTTTTTATGGGCCATTGGTATTTTTAATTCTATTTAAGTTTTTCCTGATTTTTGGGCTTTGTTTAGCTTTAAACTTGATTTAAAAATCATTATAGTTTTACTTTTATACCAGTTGTTTGGGGGCAGATAACTCTGTTGCTTTGTACCAAAAACCACCTAACAATCAATTAAACACATTTTTGACATTTGAAGGACTATCTCATTAATGAAGTTGTATTCTTAGGAATAGTTTTTCATTTAAAAGTTATATGTTGAAAGTGGCTTGGAAATATTATTTGAATATGCAATAAAACTTTGTTGTGCCTGATATGAAGTTTATGTTTGAATATGTTAGATGAACATTTTGGCTTAAAATATCTAAATTTCAGGATTCCTTAAAAGTACTTCTCAAGGTTCTACCTGTATTTTTATAATGCTGGAAATATCAGCCTTTCCCTTCCTGTACTGCTAGAAATGTCTTACAGAATATTTTGTTACTTATAAACCTTTAATTGCAAATATACCACCGTAACATATTATTTCTTTAGTTTACTGGTGTTCAAGAATGAAAAGCCAGATATGACTGGGTGGTATCTGGATTTTCTCCATCTTAGTCTGTTTCCTCTTGATGGGAACCTTAATGAATGTATTGTTATCCTTGCTCATTCAGAAGGTGCACCATCCGGGCTTTGGTTCTACACAGGGGCTTTCTGCACTTCATTAGAGTCTGTACACCGAGTCCCATGAACCTCCTCTTCCCCTTGGACATTTGCAACTTTCTTTGAAATATGCTATCAAGCTTTGTTCCTCTTCCACCTCCATGTTCAGAGTTGTATCTTTTAATGAATCGTTTCTGACATATCTGGATACACAGGAAATTATGGGTCATTAGTCTTTAGTTGAGGTGGCTATGCACATCAATATGCTGGAGCTTCATGACATTCGTTGGGCTGTAGATAATTTTCTGCTTTTAATACAAGACATAGCAGTTATGATCCATTCCGACAATTTGTCTGTTGTCTCGTATATCAATCAATAATGGGGCATCCATTCACATTTGCTTTGTTTCTGGATGTTAGAACTCCTCTTCTATTGACATTTCATGTTCTGGGTGCTCTGAATCTTGTTGTGAATCAACTTTCTCGCCCTGACAGAATAACCCCTCAATCCTCAGACGTTTCTGTGTTCAGTGGGGAACTTCTCTTGTGGACAAATCTGCCATCCATCTATATTACAAACTAACCCTTTTATGATCCCTAATTTCACATCATTTGGCTCCAACAGTGGACACCTTCAGTAAGGATTGGGTCAACCTTTATCTAATAAAAGTAACCAAAACGTAAAAGTTTGAAACATGTTAAGCCAGATAATAATAATAAAAAAAATGAAAAATTTCATGTTATAGTCAATATCACAGCAAACATTTGTGTCATTCTTGTAATTTGATCATTTGTCCACATAAAGCTGTGCAACTGTGTTATTTTCAGAATATTCTGAGAGGGTCCAAGTGCAGCTGTAAAGCAATAAAACTAAATGAATCCAGATCTAAAAAGTCTACTGGTACTGGCTGTAAGAAAAAATAGTGCAGCAATTCTTGACAAAAAAGAAAGGTAATGAAGATTTATTTCATATTTTTCAACTTTTATTTTATTCTACACTGATGTCACTAGAGTAAGTGTTAGGGTAGAGCAAAATAACAATATAAAGTTTTACTAAAATAAACCTTTTGATATTTGTTTAAGAGATTCTAGAAGTTGAACAAATGAAATATGAAAAAAATATTTTTTTTTTACCCAAATCTGTGTAAGACAATTATTAAATTCACAGACAAATCTTAAGTAGTCGTGCTAATTTAAGCTACTGATATAAGTTAGTGGTTTGCAGTTTTCCCTTCCTTTTCCACTGGAGCTAATGTTCTGCATTTGCAACAAGGATATGGTGTAAAAACTTATGTGTTGTTGAGATAGATTTACTCTTTGATTGGTAAGCACATTGCTAAGGACTACACAATCAGAAGTCTGGCTAGTCGACATATGTGCACTGTTTCATAGAAGCTATGTTAAATGGATATACATTAGTACTTCAGATAAGCACATTCTTACAGTAAAGCAGTGAGTGCATTCACTATTTCTACAATGAGCTGGAGCACATACACTACATCCTATCAGATGACTTTTTACAAAAAATGTTATCTTGCTATCTGAGGGTTATAATGTTTACCCTTACAGTATTTCCTGAACTTCTGAAGTATGACAGGTTGAGTACACATGGAGTTTTAGACACAAATCTTGGTCACTGGTAAATTTTATTTAAAGACCAGCTGCCTGACCTTGCTAGCATGCTGCCACAATGGAAGAAATTTTACTGACCTTCAGGTTCAGCAGCTTTGCTGATCATTTTATCACATCAGCCTTTTCAAATCTGCAGGAGGAGGACATACAGATCAGAGAGCTAATTTTGGTTCTCAATCTTACACATACACCACCAGTGAAGAATGCCAATAATATCCAAAATGAAGCTGAAACCATGACCTTAACTTTGAAACTACAATAGCAACTCAGCTCTCTGGATCTCCAGCCATAGAAGATCTTCCACTAGCTCATTGGTTAAGATCTACAAGTGTCCAGTGGAGGCTGCTCTATAAAGCACAATATTCATTTTCATATGCAGCAAGGACACAAGATTCTACACTCTAGAAGGGTGTTCTCTAAGATGAACAGGAACAAGACAAAAACCTCACTTTCTCATTCAACTGTGTGAAGCTATTCTCAATGGACTATCTACAACTGCCACCATCATGACATTTGATGACGGGCATGTTGAACAGTGGAAACAACATAGAGTCAGGCCACACAGTAGTGATGGCTTGGGCCTTATGCTACAGATAATTGGATTGATAATGTGGCTGAGAGACTATCAAGGAGAATCATCACTTGCAGGGTGATCTAACATACCTGGAGATTGAGAGAGAGAGAGAGAGAGTAAGCAGACCCTCTGTAAGATCCACTTAGAAAAGATGAAGTACTAAGCAATGTTCTTTCATGAATTTTGATGGCAAGGTTTCATCCACAGTCTCTATGAGTTCTTTATAAATAACTACATATTTTACAGATTAGTTGTTTAATTTATGTATGTGCATTATTTCATGTCATTTCCTTTCTACTTTGATGTATTTTTACTTTTTTTTCAAACTTTATTAAAGAGTTCTGTAACTATTTATGATTATTTTGATATAAAATGATAAAAACCCTATAACTTGAGCACTTTCGAAAGTGTTTGGGTTATAGGTTTTTATCCTTTTGTATCAAGACTTCTTGAACCTATGTGTTTTTCTGACATCATGTATGATTATTTAGTGTTTTGTTTGTTTCTATGATCAGCCTCAGTTTAAGATCCTTCGTGTTATTATATTTATTAGCAGAAATGCTGCCCTTAGGGCAGCTGTTTGTGCTAGTATTCATACCTCACTGAAAACAATTTAGAAAAAAATGAACATTTTCTAGAGAAATGATTTTTCTGGAAAGTACTGCATGGGAAAAGTGTTCGGATTGTGCTGATATAAACTGTAAAGTTTTTATATGTTAAAAGTGAGACCCTTTATTGAAAAATAAGTTATTTTTTGAAGATCATTTTTAGTATTATATTTACAAATTACATCAATAAAGATGTAACCAAACTCTCACGTACTTGCTGTGAGGAGAGTACTTTTATTTAGAATTGTGTTCTGTGATAAAGAAATGATTGTTGCACATACCATAGTTATTTTTCTAATTGTCTGAATCTTGAATACCTAAAATGTGAAATTTTTTATGGATTTTTGTTTGTGATACCATTCACAATACCAAGCAAGCCAATTAAGCTTAAAAGGACTTAATATCACTGTAAAAAATATTTCATTTTATCATTTGTGTTTGCTTATTTTACTTTACTGTCTGTGTTTAATTTATTCTTTGCTTATCATTTCTTGATTCTGCTACTGATTCAGGATATTACTTGTAACTTACCTGAGTATCACAGTCATATGTAAGTACACATACACAACAAATCCTACAGCTCTTAAAGTTAATTATCATCAATGTCTTTATATACATACATATCCATATAAAAATATATAATAACTCACAGAATGTTTAGTGCTACCTAACTTCAACATAACTGTTCATACAAAACAAATACAATGAATTACACAGCTTTAGTATTATTTAATTTCTTACTTCAATATGGCTGTACATACAATGATACATATATATGTATCACACAATGTTTAGTGACAGATAACCTCATTATGACTATATATTTATACATATCTATATAAAACATACACAATAGACATAACTTCTGAAATAGGATATAGAAAGTTCATTATAGGTATTAAAAAATATCACTCTGATTTGAAATAATGTTTTAATTACAACCAATAAAAACATAACATTAGAAAGTGACGACAATGTTAAAAATGAAAGTAATGGTAGTGCAGTGTAGTCCAAAAAAACTCTCTTTCACATTATGCAAAAAACATCTTTTTCATAAAGAAATCTCAAACTGTTTGTTGGTTATTCGAAGGTCAGGAGATTGCAGATACAGTCTTATTAACATATTGCTATACATTATTCTTTACTTTCACTCATAAGTTCTTAGAATTGAATAACAAGTCGTGTCTTCCTTAAGTGTGAGAAAAACTTTATTATCATAATAAACAAAATTAACATAATGTACAATGCTATTCTTACTATTTCCCTGAATCATTAATTAGTAGGAAGCTAAGAAATAATGTGAACAAAGTATAAAATGATTACTACTGAAACTTTAAATTTCTCTCATGTCATTGCTTCATATCAATTCAACTTAAAATAAGACTTCCTGACTTTACCATTAAATAGGTTTTTCATTATACTTTGCATCAGCTCAGGATTTAATTTCTTTTAATATCAAACATGCATTGAATCTAGAATAGTAAAAACAAATTCTACAGAATCATATAATCTTAGTTAGATATATATATATAAACTTAATTTCCTTACTTCAAGCCACAGCTAAACATATTTTCAAGTGTTTATATAATTTGTTTAGTATCTTACTGTGTAAAACATTACAAAGCCCAGGTCACTTGGAAACTCATTGAGGTTACATATCTTTTGTGCTATGGATAATAAATTCACCAGAAATACATAAACACTCCTCTCATATATAACTGACCAGTCACTTGATTTCAATTGCTAGATTTTCTTTTTTCCTGCTGAACTGATTATATACTATATTTTTAGTGAACTATATAAACTACTAAACTGATTTTTTCTTCTTCAAACTGCTACTTGTTCAAGTTATTTTCTCTGAAACTAGTACTTATTAAATCTAATTTCCTCATGGTTTTCTGCTTGCCACACAAACACTTTTTATAAATATCTTATTTTACTAATTAGTTCTTATAAGGAATTGTTTTCTGAATAACTATCCTCGGTCACAGATGACTTCTACAACCTGCCAATAAAATCATAAATATAATTATTGAAACAATTCTTTAATATTTCTCTATCTATCTAGCTTCATTTAATCTAACTAAAATTTTCATATTATTACACTTATGACAATACTGTGAAAGAAAAATCCTAGGTGAAGAAATTTTCTTAAAATTCATCTTACATTGATAACAGGACTTATTGTAGTAAACATTAATATACTTTTCTGATAAGTTTTTACAGTATCATAATGGTAGCTTTATATGTTAAATTTATTACTAAATTGATTAGGAGGCATTACAGTTGTGTAACTGAAAATAACTGATAAACAAGACAAAAAAAATGAGATAAAGAACCTGTAATTACCAGCTCAAGTGTAACATAGCTCAGAACACTAACACTGAATTATAAAAGCTTGACTATAATATTTATTTTAGGATTTTTCACAACTGAAAGTATATTTATGGGTATGTGTCTTGTGGCAAAGCAAATCTCCCACTGACATCGTCACTGTGAAAGAAGTAAAACTTCAGACATCTAGATTTTTACTATTTAAACTGGAACTTTGATTGTCAATACTCATGCATGAATTCAAGTTTCAAATCTGAATTTTACAGGTGGTCATTTCTTTACACTTCTGTAATGTCTCAAATTATACTAGGCATTTTTTACTATAAAACTCCACAACATGTAGTATGTTGATGGCTATTAATGACCTTTACACTTGAATATTACATTTATAACATACATATTTCCTATATTTTAATTGAAAAAAAAAAGAATTATTTTTGTACAATTTTCCAACATCAAAAAATGTTAAGGTGAAACTTTTGGTTCCAAACAAGTCACAATTACAATGTTTGATGAAAAGGTAATTTGTAACCTTCAATTTATTCAGTGTCAATAATTATTAAATTGTAAATCATTTCTTACTCCAGTATCCATTAATGTTGGATCAAGACAACGATGAAGTGTACTTCCCAAAACTTCATCCAGCAACACATGGATGAGACTGTTAAGCACAAAAAAGTCAAAGAACAAATATCCATTTAAAATTTCACTACCAAGCTTTAGGCACATATTTTATTTTAGTATATTTAGGTTTATATAAATGTCTAATTTGATCAAGTGTACCTCTAAAACCATTTGAAATAGCTCAAGACACATATGGAAATAATTCAGTACAACATAAAGATTCAAATTATCCAAATAATTTGACTTAATTTTCTGATGATGTCACCCCCAATATGGTTACCATATTTAAAAAATTTGTAGTTTATTCTTTTTTCTTCTGATTTGGCACAAATAAATCACCTGATTTCATAAAAATAGTTAAGAGTTACTATTTACCTTTTGCTGCGTTGTAGTTATTGTCTAGAACCCCTTTGAACAGGCAAATTGTGTATCTCTAGGTCAGTTTTTTGGAGATGATTTGTAAATACAGATAATAATAAATAATAAAACAACTCCATGTAATCAGTTTCCCTTTCCTCATGAACACAAGATCTTCACCTATTCTAAGAGGTAAGACTGCAGGTTTCAAAGCTGCCAGCATTCCACGGCAGTTCACTTTCAAAGTACCACACATTCCGATATCCTGATTAGACAGTTCTTCAGCCAAGAACACATTAGTGTAATAACTGTCTACATACAGTTCATGCCCTCTGCCAATGTATAGTGCCATCATAATCAGAACAAGTCTAGTGGTAACTGGTAAATCATTATCATCCTTATTTTTAATATTTTAGTTTTTGCCAGCATAGAGTGACTATTCAAGAACATATCCACTTTTTGACTCAGATAATACAAAAGCCATGAATCTCTATTTAACCAGTTTTTTAGGGTTGCACTGTTTCAGAACACTTTACTCTTTGAATACAACTGTCATTTCATCCAATGCCAATTCCTTTTTTGGACCAAATGGTTGCGTGAATTTGAAAATTATCACATCAATCAGTGGATGCACTTTTATTAACCTGTCATAACAAGAATCACCTCTGGCAACTTCAAGTTTATCCATAGTAAGAACATGGTAGAAACCAGGAGCATCTCACTAGTCCTTTAGCTCAGGCTTATTGACTAAGCCCATTGCAAAGTTCAAAGCAAAGGTTGCTTTCATCCCTGGACGGTTCACAGATACCTATTTACAAAATTGTGAACATGGTTTTAAATCATCACTTTACCTTTGTAAAAATTGATGAGCATAGCAGCTTGTTTCTGTTACAATGTGATGAAACACAGCAACATCTGGGAAAAATTGCAAAAAATTGACAGGGTCTGCACCATCTAGATTCTAGTTGCCCCTGTACCCTATATTTCTATCGTCAAAGTTGAAAATGTTCATCGCCCACCACCAACCTCCACCAAGTCCAAGCTTGATTACCATAAAAAAGTCAAACCTGCCCACATGCAGGTTATAGCACTCTACCAGGTGTGGCCCTGGCTGGAAGGGCCTGTATGTGCAGTTGTACGCACGTCTGTACTAGCAATGGAAACATATACGTTATTACATCCTACACCATGTTCACGAAATCTGTCTTGACATTTGTCCCTTTTATAAATGGGAGCCTCATAATCACCATCATCACTTTTCCCCACAGGCCCAGCATCAGCATTACTACTGTAACTATCCACATCAGTGTCAGTCATATCATACTCAAAATTATCATCAGATAATTCAGGTTCAGAGTCAAAATCATTGTCAACTTGCACAAGTTCAACTGTCTCTTCAAGCATGAAAACACTGTTGTGATTTGATTCCAATTTGGATCCATTTTCTCATAAGAATTAAACAATTTTCAACTGCAAGTATTACCGATTTTTTGAATAGCAACATATGCCATGTTGAAAATGAATCAGCAGCTAAGATCTGCATCTGTGCAGATTAGGCTTTGTTTATTGATTTTGTGTGCTTGATTCACATTTCTAGTGGGAAATTCATGCTGCATTACGCTGTTGTCAAATGGCAACAAGCACACCTAAACTGGAACTTGTATAACTGTCTATATTTCATAACTACTGAAAACATTCTACAGGTCATCCCTATCTTGACTAATAACAAAGCATATCACTCCATTATTACCTGACTCACTAAACAAATATCTTTAACAGGTTCTTGATATACATTTTGATGATGAAAACAATACACATTACCAAAGCCAAGAAATAAATATTCATAATACTTTTTGATGATTCATCTTGTTCCAAAAATAGGAAGGAATACTTTTTTCATAGATATTGATGTTGTATGCGAACAGATGTAGTAAACAGTATGTTTTACAGAATCAACCAATATCAAGTTAATTAGAATTATAGAACAAATCAAGTCTTCAGAGTAACCAACTATATGTACAAATACAGTAAAAAACATACGATCTTTTTTATCGCAACAAAGTATCATTTCACTCACACACACACACATCTATAAACTAACGTTTTTTTTTTAAAATCATCCCAATATAGTCTTGAGTTACTTATATGCATCACCTAAAATTGCTTGGCATTTCACAAAATACCAACTTCTAAATGCTGTAAGTGGCAATACTGGTACACAAAAACACCATTTTCATGAGACATTTAAACATTATATATAATGAAGAAAGTAAATACTGTTTAGGTTCTTGAACCAAACACTATTTTTCATCACAGAGCAATATATTCATTTTTAAGCAATTCTCATATACTGGTAATAGAATTGCTAACTAACAGAAGCAGTAACAAATGTAGATTACTACAGAACCACTACAGTCAATTATGAACTATATAACTAAAAAACAAAACTCTTACTTTTCATCTGCTACAAATCTCCAAAAGTACAGCTGCAAATAATGAGTGTCAACTTGAACTTGTTGAAGTCCATACCGACTGAACGTCCTCAGTCGAACACATTCTAAGAAAGTCTGAAACCAAAAGAAAAACTTTCAGACATTGAAATGTCTTTAAAGTAAAGCTATCTACAAAACAGAAAAAACAAAACAAAATGTTGCTATTGAACAAAGCATTGTGAACATACTGCAATATTTGTATTTATACATAATATAGTTGTCCCCTTTTGCCCCAATGAAATGTTTCATGTAAATATGATGTCACATGGAACAATAGTGTTGTATAAAGCCATAAACCATAATAGGCACTAGTATTTTTCATTAAGATGGGCAAGAAAGCTATTATAGTACTCTTTTTAGCAGACGCTTCTGTGACCAAACAATGTAAATCATTGGAAAATCAGATGGTTAAATTGTCTAAGAAAACAGCAGCAGTTAAAAACAACCATAACCAATCATTTATCATATTTGACAGGAACTGCTGATCGTTGAGTAAACAGTGAGGAAAAAAATTAAAGACTACAGTTTCAGAAACCACTGTATAAGCCAATTTTACATTAAAATTACACAGAAATTTCTGAAGATTGTTAAGAGGGAATTAAACAAAATGTCATTTCATGATAACTGCACATACAATTTGCAATAATAATAACAAAACTATAGGTAAAAGGAGATGGATTACAGATCCAGATGAGGTATGCTTCACTTTATTTCTGATGTCATCTTGCACCTATTTATAGAGGCAGTTCCATGAAGAATCCAGTGGTTCTGTAGTGCACATTTGTCAGGAGTCAGCCTTCTTACATCATTACATGGTACAATGACCTGAGTTGATTAATTCGGCATCTTCGACAATCAAATGTTACCCATGATCCTCAAAAACAATCCCAATGCAACTGGTGAATTTCAAGATAACAGCATGCCTATTTATAATGCTGGAATCCTAAAGAAGTGGTTTAATGAAATGGAACTGATTTTACCCACCTGCTTTGACTTGTGCAACCATCAACTGAGCTACTGAAACTTTACTGAAAATCTAAATGAAACTGCATTCCACAAGACACATCCTTATTAACTTTGTTCCTCATTATTTTTCAGTCATACTGGAAGTTAAGGGTGTAATTTTTCAGAGAAGGAGAGTAACATAAGGTTGCTAGGAGTAATTTACACTACACCAAATGAAAAACACGTCAATTGTTTTCATTGGCACTGGTGAAGAATGGAATATTTGTGCCAGCCTTTATAAAGTAAAATCAATATTACTGGTTCATTCAAAGTCAAAGAAAATAGTGTACATATTGTTTTCCAACAACTTCAGCTTTGACTTATAAATATTTTTGATTTGTACATCTATATTTACGAATATCCACATAATTTATTCTAGGTGGGGCAGGCCATTTTCCTTAAAGTTTGAATATGATGCTCTGGCTGAGTATGGCTTATTTATATAAACTTAATTTCATCACATACATTAAAATAGTGTTAGTTTCTAATACATATAAAAAAATAAATTATTCAAATACATTTTCTTCTGAAATTCCAGGGGGGGCTAAACCCCCTTGCCCAATTCTGCAGATGCCCATGTCTATATTAGATCTTTGTGGTTCATATTGATTGTCTTGTTTCTACTTAATCTATTTGAGAAATGAGACTTATTTTATTTATTTGGATTAAATTTGTGTCAGAATGTAAGTTGGGTTAGTTTTGTTAACAGATGAGTTAGAAAAACTTCAAGGTTAGAAACATTGGTCACTGTTTGTAAGCTAATCAATATAACTCAAGCTACTGATGCAAAATGTTGGTTTGTAGTTTTAACATGAAGTGCCCCACTTTTGGAATGAAGCATTTTTTATAGTATTCGTCTCATATTGCTACATAGTACAGCAGCCTCAGCTGTTTACTTGAATATTTTACACAACCAAATCTTATCCATGATCCTCCACTACCATCCAATGCCACTAGTGAATTTCAAGACAATAAACTGCCTATCAATAAAGCTGGAATCATAAAGAAGTAGTTTAATGAACATGTAACTGATTTTACCCATTTATATTGGCCTATGCAGTAGAGCTGGGAAGTTGCTTATTGATTAATCAGTGGTCTCTATGTGGATATGGTGATACGAGTCACCAATGTTAATCAGCTGACTGGCTTTCTTTTCTTTACTTTACTTCTCCAGACCAGATTTTGATCCTCACGTAACTGCATAGCTGTTCATCAACAAAATAAAATTCCTCCATGGAATTTGTTATTCCCCAAACATTTTACAGTCCTGCAAAAAAGCTGTTTGCAGTAACAACTGTAAAATCAAGTGAGCTTAAATGCTAAATAACAATTTCCTACTGCTCTTTAGAATAGTGACTAATACAGTGAATTTTTTTTATGGTTTGTACTCACATCAGGGCTATCTTTAGAAATTAGATACATCCAACAGGCCTAAGCCTAGACAGTTACAGTAAACTTGAAGAATGATGCATTTCCAATACTAATAATATGCTTTGCAGTATTGTGCCTAGGACTGCAGTAGATCTAGGGTCTACAAGGAAACTTCTATTTTTATACATTATGATCTCATATTTTGTAGATATACATACCTTTCTAATGCTCCCAATAGGACCACCCTTCCATTGCAATTTAAACAATATTTTGTTGATATCAATTACTTTTAAAGCCAGGCCCAATTTGTTCTTCACTGACACATTTATTTCCTACACTATGTTTGCATCTTTCCTCTTGACAACCTTGACTGGCATGAGTTTTACTGTTAATATTTAAATTGCCATTCAGTGTATACACTCAAACAGTTAACCTTTGCCCCAGTGAAACAGGCTTACATGTTTGGAAGAACAACAATGGCATAAGTTTGGGAAACCCAACACGTAGCAAACACTACCAGAATTCTGGCAACTGACAGTGAAAACACGTCCATTAACATAAACAGCTAAATTGTTACCAAAATGCTCCCTGTTTTAATCTGTGTTTTCATTAGCTTGTCTATGGAGATCAGTCTCTGAAAATGTTCACAATTCTTCAAATCAATCATTAAAATTACTTGAAGATACATGCAAAAAAGAACAAAAAGAGTATTTGTAAGCAAAATGCATGTGTTTAACATGAATTGAACTGCAGAACTGTTAGAATGGCTATTGTACTTGAGAGTATTATTCAACACAAAATAAAATTTGTGAAATTCTACAAAATCACAAAAAAGCTCATATCTAGAATTTACAAGTAAAAAAGGAAGAAAAGGTTATTTGTACCATGCATAAAAGCCTTATAATAATAACATTCTAAATAAAATAAGACCACTATTTAATGGTAAACATATATATATATATATTAAATAACCATTGAAAAAATGGATAGTTCATACTGACAAACCTGAAAATCTATTTTAAAGTATATAGATGAATTTAAAATAAAATAAGAAACAAAAAATCTTGTAAACATTTAATATATAATTATATAAAATTATTGATGTATTTATTATAGTTAGCTTAACTTTGTAAGACAAACATGACCCACCCTCAAATAAATCTTGTGGATCATAATGTATATTATGTTTGTTTATAATTAAGCACAAAGCTACACAATAGACTATCTGTGCTCTGCCCACCACAGGTATCGAAACCTGGATTCTAGTGTAAATCCATAGACATATCGCTGTGCCACGTGGGGGGGGGGGGGAGTAATGTATATTATGAAAATTTTTTAGTTTTTCATTGCAAACTTCAAAAAATTCATTACAATGGTGACTTGTTATGTAATATAATTTTAAATGAGTTCCAACCAATGGAAAAATGTCATGTGGACATTTTTGGAAGAAAATGTGTAAAACTTTTAGAATTGAGGCCTTTTTTCCAGGATCATTGGAGTTCTTAAAAACACAATTTTCTTTCTCCATTAGGCTTTTTGAATGCTATACTGCAACCACATCCTCTCCATACATAATCACTAGTATGTTTTTAAAATACTTTTCCATGCGATACAAAATACAATGTAAAAGAAAGCATATACATCATGTTTTTGTTTGGTTACCTTAATAAAATAATTGATACAATTTTTAATACCATATTAAGACCTTTAAAACCCAGTGGTAGGTATAATACCACCTCTGACCTTGCATTAATACAAATTAATAACTAATAAAAGTCACCATGTCAGAAACACAGATATTTCAAAGACATGCCTATGTGATCTTTTAAAATATTATTTTACTAGGTCAGTTTATGATTCATGATACAGTAAACACTATTACATGAGATAGTTATTTAAAACACTGTTATGCATGACCCATGTAACCATTTATCAGAAAGTCAGTTTTCATACATATACCATAGTAGGCATTTATGACATCAATCATTAGGCCATTTCATTCAAATAAATGGTTCAATAAAAAATTCTAAAGTATCAAACCTAATATAAACAGCTAGTATTTATCTATTTCATACTTAAAACTTATCTATGTGCTCCTTAAGCTAATTTATGTACACATTCAAAAAATCTAATGTTTCTTTACTTCTGCCCAAGGGCAAAATATGATCTTAGCATTGATCAACTTGATGATGGCCTCGAGTTACAAAATTCGTGAGTTCTTGTGAACAGAAAATTAACTGTCCAAACAATTACTTCAGTGAAATAAGCATAGAGGGAAACTTATTACCTTCCATCAGTAACATGCAGAGGACATTAAAAGGGCAGGGGTTTATTGACAAAAAAAGAGCACTTTTCAAGCATTGTAAGATAAGATGTTTTATGGGGAGAGGGGAAGTGTTAGAGGCAACTATGGGGATTGTGGGTTGCCTCTGATGCACATAGGGTAGAAGGCCATGAGAAGTTAACAAATCCTCTTTTATTATTATTCAATCAGTCTTTCAAACACTTTTAAAATCTAAAACTAAACAGTGAAGTTTTGCATATTAACATTTAATAACATATTACAACTATTTTTTTTACTGTAAAGACCTACAAGTCCCTGTGTGACATTAATTTTAAAACTGAAATATTTTCCCCTAACTCACAGCAAGCAAGGTGGGGAATCAGGAATGTCTTTTAGTAGCTGTTAAAAATTTTTAATGATAGAGAAAAAAGGGCATGTCACTGCTTTCCACAGCTTACAAATAACAGAAAACCATTATCATCTTACATATCAAAAGTCCTACTTAGTCTCAAGATGCTTCAAAAGGTATTAAGTAATTTTAAAGTTTTACAATCTAATACAACTACGCAAGGATGGAAGGAAGATAGATCTACAGAATATAGATTGCAAAAATATAATAATCCCAGGTTTTAGATGATATATTTACAATTTTGTCAGCTTTAGAAACTTGAAAATTGTAAAACAAAACATGTGAATATTTGAATTTTATAGTTCTTGATATCACCAATTTTAAAAGTTCACTGTTTTCAAACTATCTGAACTAAAAGTAAGCTTTAAATAATTGCATAGGCTACAGATTTGTACTTAAGTTTATCCACTGACAACTTGTATCTGCAGAAGTTAGATATTTAATTATTTCCATAATCTCAATAATTATTACAACAGGAAGCAAAGATAAAAAATTAAACCTACAATTTCTACCTTTTTTCATAAGTTCATCCAAAACAAATGTTAAATCTCAATATTTCACTGATAAATTCAATTTGGAAGTAATTTGATGGGATAGATCCCACAATTTTTCTAAATTAGATGTCATAATTTTGCCTTTGTAATAAACCTGAGTCAATGATAGGAAGGGATTAATTTTTTTATTTTGATACTGTTTATTGAAAATTGATAAATACATTTACATTTGTAATTTATCTCATGGTTAAAAGGCTGACATGACTTAGTGGATAAAGAATACTGTTGAGGAAGCATTTGCCCCATAATAAGAGTTGCAGGTTCAAGATGTGCCAGGGCCTACGATAAGTTCCTGTGTCATTCTAGGTAAATCCAACATTTCCTGTTGGTACAAACATTGGATTCACATTAGTTCTACTTCCTCAACACAGTGAATATGTCAATGGAAAAGACTTTTTGAGAGATGAAAGCTATTAGCTGATTTACCAGTCTTTTAGAAGGCATCTGTTCAGGGTCTACACAAGTACTCACAACTGTGTATTTGCTTGGAATCTAATAAAGATTGTTTCACATGTCCAATCTGTTCATTTTCTTAGCTCAAACTCAGTCATCCAATTAGCTTAAGATAAATCACAATTTTTCTAACCAATCTTCTTAGTATAAAGCAGACATTTTTTTTATATTCATGCAAAAATTAGCTTCACGTGAAAATACCACAAATACAGGTTATATTTCTTCATTGTCATTATTATTTCACTGGTTTTAAAAGATAAAAAGCTTACCTTTAAACTTATCTTTATTATTCCTGTCATCACCGATACCTTTGAAAATTCCACAGTACTGAAAATCTCGATTCTTTCAGAGAAGAGTTTCTGAATATTACTCATTAAACTGGTGTCTATTGTGCTGAAAAAAATTGATCACAAAAATAAATTGAATATGATATTCGTTATGAAACTTTTTATACTAGAAAGGTTTGAGTGGACTTGTTATTTTCCAAAAAATATTAGCTGATACTTTAAATAATGTTTGTATATAATTTATAACTTGAGCATCGTACTATCACCACAAAAAAGTTAATGTCGGCGCATAAATAAAAAGCTCCACAAACCAAATTTTTATTTATGCTCTGACACTGTAAAAAAGACAGCAATGGTGTCAAACTTTTCAGCTAGATCTAGTACTCAGGTATTTTTACCTGTTGCTATGTAAATTGTAATTTGAACCATATGGAGCAAAACTTGTAACATAACAAACTAAGAACTGCAGTTTTAAGTATGGTATGTGTTTTGCTTATGTGAACTAACAAGTTTCATATGTTTATCTAATTTGTTTCAAAAATCTTTTGGTTTGTTCAAAAAAATTTAATAAAGCCAACTGTTTTTGCATAAATACTTATATATTCATAGAGAACAGAATCTGCATAATTTCTGTGTTCAACTTAACCCTCTGTTCATGGGCTCGGTTAAAGTGACAAACCCGTACCTGTGAAGCTTTATATAATATTCTTCTTTTATTTTTTACGAAATCAAACTGATAAGTATTTTTGATGCATGCCATGCATGTGCTGAATTTCAAAAATCTGATTTTGTTTTGTTATAAATGAAAATGCCTTGAAAAATTTAGTGACCAATCTCCACTCTGTAAAGTTTAATGGCCAAAGTTCTCCCTGAAACATTAAGAGACTAATACCTACTCTGAAACATCTAGTGACCAAAGTCCATTGTGAAATGCTTAATGGTTGATGTCCACTCTGAAACATTTAGCTACCAATATCCACTTTGAAATGTTTAATGACCAATGTCCTTTCTGAACATTTAGTGACCAAAGTCCACCATTACACATGTTACCAATGTCCATTCTGGAATGTTTAGCGAACAGTCAACCCTGGAACATTTAATGTCCAAAATCCACCCTTAAATATTAAGTAGCCAATGTCCACTCCAAAATGTTTAGTGACCAATGCCCACTCTTAAACATTTATAAACCAAAAGTGATCAATGTCCATTCTAAAACGTTTAGTGACCAATGTCCACTCTACTACCCATTTCAAAGCATTTACTGACTATTAGCTGTGAAATATTTAGTGACCAAAGTCTAATGTGAAACACTTAGTGCCAATGTCCACTCTGAAACATTTAGTTACCAATGTCTACTCTGAAATATTAGTAAGCAATGTCCTCCCTGAAACATTTAGTGGCCAAAGTTCACTCTGAAAGGTTGTGGCTAATGTCCACTCTGACACATGTAATGACCAATGTCCACTCTAAAACGTTTAGGGACCAAAATCTACCCTGACATATGTAGTGATCTATATCTACTCTGAAACATTTAGTGACCAATGTCCAATTTGAGCCTTTTATGACCAATGTCAACTCTCAAACATTTAGTGTCCATTTAATGAAGTATTTTTACCCAAGATTTGTCCAAGAATATATCAAGTCTTATTTTGACCAGTCCAAGACTTGTCCATGAATATATTGAGTATTTGTTTTGAATAGTCCTTTTGCAAAGTTAAGATGTTAAGATTTAAAATATTATCTTCATCTCAATAATCTCAAATGTCATTTGCATAATCTCTAAAACCTCCTAAATATATTTCAAACGTTTTTTTTTGGTAAAACTTTATATTTTATTGTTATTATTTTCTTTACACTAACTATATAACTATATATAACTAACTATATTTGATACATGCTGAATACTGTTCTCAAGTAATCAAGGAGAAAAACAAAACAAAAACAAATGCCGAAAGAATGCTTCTGAAAACTATTTTTGGCAATTCCCAAGTAATTATCTTATCATTTTAATTTGGTTTTCTTGTCAAACCCAATACATCACAAATGGTTGAAGTGAGTAATATAAACTACTGGATAATTAATGCCATAATGAGCAATTAAAGGTGAATTATCTTATTATTTTTCAGTCAGGCCCCTCTTTAAATTGAAATGTAATTACTTAGTCTAGACTTATAAATAATACTCTAGAGGTAATTATCGTGAAGAAAAAATAGTTTTAATTACTGTGGGTTAGCACACTTCAAATTAAAAGATGAGCTTTTAAAATAATGTAGAATGTACACAAGTCAGATAATGAACAAGAAAGGAGAAAATGGTAGAAACTTGTGGAGAGAGAATTCAAAATTATGTTGAATTAAACCTGGATATGAATGAACGTTTATTTTTAAGATTAAGAAACTATTTTCTTTGCTTTTTAAAACACAAATTAATTTACTTAATAGGTAAGATCTATAGAATTTTACAACTATTATTCAGCAGAGGAAGGCATTATTTTATTTAAAAGATTACAGTTATTTTTAATTTGTATAGAAATGAGGTTTTATTAATAACAAAACAATAATTTATAAATGGTGATCAAGTATGATAACTTAAAAATAAGTTATAATTAGGAAAGTTGATACTATAATCCTATGGTCATCATGACTAAAGAACTGAAAAGTAACAGGATATAAGCCTTAAAGAACATAACTTACCAAAGTATGAATATTTCCAGTGAAGCTTAGGACAAAAATATGTTACAAAAAAATTCTAATCATAAGTAGTACAAGACAATAGTTATTTCAATACTTTCCATAGATTTATAAGAGTAAACAGATTTAAATATCTGCAAAAATAAAAAAAACATATTGTTATAAAAAAATATCGAAATAAACCTAAATTATCCTTTTTTCTTTCAGGAAAGACTTCAAATTGTAACATGAAACTACATTTGTTTATCCTTAGTAGCTTTGAACCCATAACAGCATACTTAAATTTTATTGTTTTATTGGCCTTTGAACAGTGTCTAACTACTAGTACTATTCACGCTATTATAAGTTGTAAATCATTTGGGGAACATGCGGCTCACGTTACACTATCATATTACATTCCACATAAGCTACTTTAAACTGCTCACTTGCATACCTCATGAACATTTTTTATTATATCATATTATTATATATTTTACCTAATCTGACCTTAACTAGCTTAAAGAGTTCCCTATTTTTACATTTTAGTTACTTTTATAATAATAAATAAAGAATATACATGAAAGACAAGAAATAATGTATTTTTGCTGTTGACTGTCGATGACACTTAACCCTACTTTTTATACTAATGGTGATAGTGCACTAAATAATTTTTAATGAATTAAATAATGCACCAAAAACATAGAATAATAGCACGAAAAAGCAGACAATGTTTCATAACTATCACAATTGTTATGGCTTTCTAACTATGTGACAAGAGCCATTACAAATTCATCCAAGCTAGTTGATGTGTTTCCTGTGGGAACGAAGCTTGTACTGAAAGAGAAATTAATATTCTTCTCTACAGAAAACAATGTAATATGTCAATTGATAGATGAAAACCTTGGCTTTATATTGGTTAAAAATAATTTTCTATTTGATGGCTCTGTAACCAAACAAAATTGAAGACAATGATAATTATGCTTTATCTGAGTGATGACAATATTATAATAAGTAATTTACGTTAAATTTCATACTTCTTGGAGGGGTGATAAATAAATTAGCGATGAGGGGATGCCTAGAGAAAAAATGTCACATTTCTCACACTAGGGGAAATTCAGGATCTTTCTTTGATACTGCCTTATAAAATTAGGAACTTAAAACTTGTATACTATTAAAATATGGATTATTAGCTACAATTTTATGCTATTCTAATTGGCATAACATGACCAAACAAAAAATAGTTTAATTAAATTTTGAATGTAACTCACATGCATAGTAAAGGATGCCCATGGTGAGAGGGATAATTACTGCTGAAAAGTCACTAGACATTTTCTTCTCCAAAAATCCAAGGAGACCATATTGTAAATAAATAAATAAAGAAACAAAAAAGAAAAAGAAAAGAAGAAAGAGAAACAAACTAGGTTAATTTGATTTGTGGCAACCTTGTTCAAGTCACTACCTTTTCTGGTTAATTGTTTGTTGCATTATTTTGTGACAGCTGAGATGTTTGGTATTTCTTGCAGTTTTATTTTATATACCAGGAACTATTTTGTTCATGAAACACCATGTATGGTACGATTAAATATTAGGGTTTGAAGCTGAATAAAAGTGCTATTAAAATAAAAGCATACTATTTACCTCTTTTTCATTAGTGGATGTCTTTACAAAGAGTTAAGACTTTTAGTGCTGGATTTAGTTGGCATAATGTGTTAAAATTATGAATGTTAAAAAGATGCTAAGCAATACTTGCAACTGCTAATCAACTTCAATATTGATCAGCAGTTTCTGGTAATCAAATCCACTAAACTATTCTGTCCCTTGAAAGTTTACCCTGACTGATAGAAAAAATATTGTGAAGACAGGAGCATGAATGAAAGAAACGGGTAGAGGAATGTGTTTGAGTATATATTTGTTGTTGTTCAGTTTGTATATAAATATTTTCTTTTTTTTCTTTTCATGTTTGTATTATATGCATACAATTTTGTTCCATGTCAAAGAAATTGATTTGAATTCAAATATAGAAATTTTATAGAAATTACAACTGTCAAATAGTGCTCACTTATTTAACTGTCTTTTCTTGAGCTCAGTAAAATGACAAGGAACGGTGGCATGCAATGGAAAAAAAATCTCTACAGCTACTTATCAAAGCTGAGAACTCTATTGCGCTAGATGTACCCATTGCATAGAAACACAAACATTTTGGCCAACAATGCATTGTATTCAATCTTCTTTGCTTAAAAACAAACATAAGGCAATTTTCCTTAATGAAATAACACATGGAATGACAAAAGACAGTTGTACGTGGCTCACTAGACAAACACATCGTATATATATACACTGTAATGATATAAAAGACTGTTTGGTTTAAATATTAGTGATTAATTTATATTTGTGAGTGAATACTTTATTATTTTTAAG